GAGCGGCTGGAGGCGGAGCGGTTGCGGCTGCGCGAGGCCCTGACCGGTCAAGAGTGAGCGACTTGGCCGGCGCCGGCGTCTCGCCGCTTGTCGGCCGCGTTGAAAGCGCCGCATGTTTCTCTTTGCAGAGAGGACGCGAAACAGACGAGGACGCGGCAGCAAGAAGAGCGGGAAGACGCTCGACGGCAGCACGAGTATGTCGACTGCGCGACGGCCGTTTTGCACACGTGTCACGTGAGCCTTTCTTAAGACACCCGCGCAGTCTACTGTTACTCTCAAAGCTGTCGCGTCACGATCTCAAATCACGAGACTAACCTGTGCGTCGGCGGCGGCCGCAGCGACAAAGTCGGAGAGTTGAAGACGGAAAAGGAAGAGCTGGAAAAACGACTGGAACGCTGGCGAGCCGAGCAGACCAGCGAGCGGGAATTGGAGCGACGGCGGCACGGGTACGTCGTTGGGTGTCCGCCTCTCTTGTGGCGGCGGCTCGCCCGACATTCTGAAAGTTGGCTTTGCGCAGGGAGGAAGTCCAACAGCTGACGAGCCAAAGCGAAAAAGAGGCCGACCGATGGCGACACCGGCTGGAAAAAGAGCGACAGCAGCACGAGTATGTTTGACGTTGGACACGCACCAGCGTCTGAATGGACGGTTTCGAGGGCGACATATCGCGCCACACATGGTTCGTAACGGCTCATGTTGGGTCTTTGGAGCGTCGGAAATCGTACCGAGCGAATCTTCGCTGAGCTCAGTATTTCTGAAATGACGGCCCTGCGAAATGTTGTTGGCTCAATTCCGTAACGACTGACCCACCGCGCCAAATATTTCTGCGCCCCCGACTTGTCGGCTCGGCTGGCCCAACACCCGCGCGGTCCGACGCATGATCGTGCCAAAGCTGAAAGGTAAGCGGAGCCGCATATGACCACAAAAATGTGTCCAAAGAGTGTCACAAAGACACGAGTAGAACGCCAAACAGGTGTGACTCAAAAAGGACACCATGTCTCCTTTGGAGGAACGCTCTGACATCATATGAGCTTCTTGGCGTGATCCAGTGGCTTTGTTCCCGTTGGCATTTGTCAGACAGGAGCTGAGGCGGCTGAGGACACTGGTCCAGACTCTGGAGGAGAAAAACGATCGGCGCGATGAGGACCGGGTCGCAGAACAATGTGATGAGGCGGACGACGACGACGGTGGTGAAGAAGAGAAAGAGGGACATGAACAGCCAAAGGCAGATTTGGAGACCTGCACAGTCGAGAGGAAGACCCAAAGTGAGGTATGAAACCTGATTGCTGAATGTTGCTGTGCAGGAAGTGACTCCGTTGTCCCATAAAGGATGATTTCTTGACGTCAGATCGTGTCTTTTTCGAACATCTGACGACATACGATGAAGAATGATGATGTGCTCCCCAAGGACTGCGCCGCGGCAATTTGGCGCGATGCGGGAAATTGTCCCATTAACAGTCCCGACATCGGGAGCCTGACGCTCGCAACACGTTTGCTCTTGCGGTGCCTCCCATGAGCTTCAAAAACTAGTCGGCGGGTTCCACAGCCTTCTCGATTCGAGCTCCAGTCCTCTTCAGGGGCCCGCCTACTCACGGAAGACGACTACCCCCTGTCGAAATGTCTCAGTCTCCGCTTTAGACTGATTTCTACACACTTGCATTTGGTCAAACGACACTGTGTATGCTCGTGTCTTCCCCTGCCCTGCCTAGCACCCTATGTCTTGATTTCTGGCCTGTTTTACTGCCGCTTCTCCTCTATTTTTTGTTTGTTTGGTGGCGTGCCGTAAGAGTTTTCAACCCGACAAAATGTGCATTAGCTCACCTCACTCAAGGTTTGTAAATACTGATCTGGACTTAGTCTTCTGACTTTTGATTAATTCAGTGATTAGAAAATCTCTCTCTCTCACGTAACATATAATCAACCGTACTTGTCTCACTTGCACGTGATGGACTTAGACTTTTGATTAATTCAGTGATTATAAAATCTCTCTCTCTCTCACGGAACATATAATCAACCGTACTTGTCTCACTTGCACGTGATAAAATGTCCTCTTCAGGCCGGGGATTCCACCACTTCACCGGACAGAGGAGTCTTGGACGAGACCTCCTTGGTCAGCATCCAGGCCGCGTTCAGGGGCCACCTGGCTCGCACGCATCACCTTGCATGCAGGTGAAACGCCCGCCTGCGCTCTCATTCACGCCGCTTACGTTGCCAGTCAACAACTCAAGTCTTGCGCGTGTGTGCAAACAGTTTGCCAAGGGAAGCGACATCAGAGTCGGAAGACCCCACAACCGCCGCGGCCGCGAAAACAAGGTTGGACGAGGAAGCGCCGCGGCCCGTCCCCACGACTCACAAATCACCGACGCCCTCCAAAGGTTAGAGCGGCTGCGGGCAAATGCAAACGGACCTTCGGACGTCCGTGTGAGGAGGCACATTCATCTGTTCCAAGGTCTCTCGCCTCCTGTTAACACACTAACTTTAGAATCGGACTCTAAAAGTAAATATTTAAGTGCCAGTCGATAAAGGCGTTGTAATGGCACAGGTACGCATCTAATCTCCATCCAACAAACCCACAACAGGTCGATACAGTTTGTTTGCTTAGAAGTACAACTTGGCGCAACGCGTCCAAACGACACACTTCCTGTATTGCTCACGTGATTTTTTTTTTCCCAGGCGATACACGCGCCACTACGGCATTTCACACTTGCGCACTGGGCACAGTGCTGACACACCAGTGTCGTTCGTGCCATCACTATTACGATAGCCACCAAAGCGAGACCAACCAAAAACACTTGCAAGAGGCAAGGATAAATGAAAAAAACAGAAATGGCTTGTCGTGAAAGGACAAGAATGAGCCTAAACGAGTCGAATACTAACCGTGACTTGGAGTACAACAAAAAAACTACATAAAAAAAGCAAATGCAAAACATGCTGAGAGAAAAGTCGTGAGCAAGGTTGAATAATCCGACAGCAGCAGTCGTCACGCGGCGTGGCTTTTTCAAGGCTGTAGGTAACAGGACCAGATCCGTGTCAGGTGTGGCTCGTGAGGGAACGCCCACTCTCCAACTGGAGTCCGAAGAAACAAAGCCAACAAAACGGGATAATCACACGCAGAAGTGAACGTCAACTCACGAAACCTCCCCTTTATACTTGGTGTACATATGTCAGCCGCAAAAAGAACACGTCACGACTTTTATGAAGCACTTTAAGTCAGGCTCCCTTGCGAGATGTACATTTTTGTAAAACCTCCGCTCCATCACAAGATATTTCGGTTTAGTTTTTGAAATATATACAGTATATATTTTGTTGTCATATTGCAGTTTCTGAATGACTACTGAACTTAATCGGGTAACCTGTTGAAAAACAACAACCACATACTGTATACGGAAAAAACGGGCTGTTGCGTTTGCCTGTCCCGTCGCCCAGCCCCGCCTCGTCGCAATCCCGCTCTGTTCACGGTGGCCCTGATGGGAGCTGCCCTGAACTTGCCTTCCGTTTGTCAACCCGGTTCGTCTGTGACGCAGATCCGGACACGGGTGACGACGCCTATTCGGAGGACTCGGACGATTCTGACGACATCATCGTGGCTGAGTCGTACCCTCGGAGAAGCAGAGAGGCCAGGATCTTGTGACCGCAAAGGGACGATGGGCATGGAAAACCTCACTGCGGAATATCATGGCGTGTTTCCGCACCGTGAATTTCTCTGTGAACTTACCGTCAGCAGGGAGACCCCGTCGCCCCCGCCACCAAAAGTGCCTTCTCGTACGGAGCGAGTTGTGCCGGAAAAATGTTATGATGAGCCTTAGTGATGTTTGATTAGAA